GTATGAAAAAATATACTTACAACTGGCTTAATCCATTTTGGTTTGGAACTCCTTCTATTTTTGGTTATTTGATGTGCTTGCATTGCCCTTAATTAGTAAAAAAACAGAAATCGGTCATAAATTTTGAGCCGTAATCAAAAGTACTCATATGTATACAAAAATATATACTTACATATCCAAAACACTCTTCACATTTGTCTTTGGCTTATTCCCCAAGGAGCACAAAAACACAATAATATTTTTCTTTGGACACAATACGAATAGCTGCCAGTGGTGGCTGAAATAAAACTATTAGCGATAATTATTTAGATATTAATTGAGTTTCATAATAAGCTTGTACTTACGGATAGTAATATGGTACTAGATAGCAGTCCTTGTTGTCCTTGAGGTGAGTTAGTATGTATGTTTGAGTTTCATCATGCTTGTTTCCCAAATCTTGAATGATAAAAGGGTCAAAGAATCCATACAAGTGTGTATTGCTCTTTTTACTGCACAGTTTGTGCAAGTACCTATAATTTAAGAATAACATGAAGGTTGAAATGTAATGATTCCAAAAAGATTACTATTGAACCTATAATAATCTACTTTCTATAGACAACAGTGACCAAATTTTGAGCCTTAGGGTTTGTTTGGTTCAGGGGTTCCGCGATTTTGCAGGGAAGGGAAGGGAGGGGCATTAATTTTTTTAGTTATTTCAGATTTAGGTCAGTGGCAATAAACTGAAGTTATAAAACCACAATAGAATCACATGATCTAAGTAATCATAACAGTCATATATCTGGTCCAAAATTGAGAAGTATAGCATCTCCCAAATCTGAAGCAGCAAGAACAAAGGTCTATAGTCAATCAATTATGGTTGTTAAGTTATCAAGTTGAAATCAGTCTAGTAAAACCCTAGATTCTGCTAACAATATATTATCATTAAAAGATTTTAATATACAGTTTATTTTCAATCTGAAGCAGTAAGAACAATACAATATTTCATCAATCAATTGTCCAATAAAGCAATACAATTATATGAAAGAGTAGTGAATGATACCCTGGACCGACATCTCATCCCTGAATTGCAACCCCTTCATGCATGTTTGAAAACACAGCAACAACAAAAAAAGTTCTACCTCAACCAAAATATGAACTTACATTGTCCAGACTTGCAGAATCTTTGTACTAAGCATCTGATTACCCGAACATATCTCCATTATCTCTTCTGAATCGAGAAAAATGGAGATATCAGCAGCACCAATGACATCTCCTTTCAAAGTCAACTGTATAGGCTGTCCATTAAGGTGTGTAGTCATTTCTAGCAAGCATGATATTGGATCCTTATTCATGATGGGGTCATTTACTTGGTCACTGTCATCACCCTACACACAATAAAATGTTTAAATTTACTAGAAGTAAATCTTAAAAACAATATATTATCGAATATCCTGTTTTCATAGACTTGTTACGAAATTGATACTAAGTATTTCATGAAAAGATGGGTGTAAAACAATGTTATTTTATCACCTTTCGATGCACTTGTTTATCCTTCTTATCGGGGTTAACTAACCGTCTCGGCCACTGAATGAATTGTTTAGGGTCCTGCCCCACAGTTTTAACTTCTTCAGTTGCAATAGGAACCAATGCAGCTCCATCTATAACCTTTACCACCTCCACCCTAACAAAATCTGCAGCTATTTTTTGATGATGTATAGTAGGTCCCAAGTTGTGTACCTAAATATATTTCCAAACATAAATTTTTAGCGTAAATTTAATCGTGTAATTGAGAATGTATAAAACCTGAATGTATAAAACCAAATTTTGTAGTTCTTTATTTTAAATAAGAGTACCTTCCCCATGGCTACCAAGTGAAAAGGAATATCCACATAAAGGGGAGAAAGCTCATCATCATCATCATCAAGATCATCATCAAGATCATCATAGTCATCAGACTCAGACACATCCAGTGGAGCATTGCTCCCTTTTGTACTCACATGTGCAGGAGAAGGACTGGGGCATACCTCTCTATGTGGTTCTTGATGCTGGGTAAATCCAAGCTTTTGCAGCTCATCCCGAAGTTTCTGGTCAAATATCTTTGACAATTCTTCAGTCACCTGTCGTGTCACTTTTTGAGTGACTTCTTGTGTCACTTTTTGTGTCACTTGTTCTGTTACTTGTTCTGTCACCTCATCTTACATCTCTTTCTTGATCTGATCAACATCACGCTTGGTTAAAGCTTGGGCCGTGTGTCTTTGACGACCTGTGTTTGGAAAGACTTCACGAATGCTAACACATGCTCCAACACCACGTACACGTCCAGGGTGCTCGGGGCGTCCAGTAGCTGTTGTTAAGATGTCATCACGACCCAGGGGAACAAATGTTCCTTCATTTTCCTCCTTCTCTGGTGCAGTCTGCAAATAAAGAATACTCAGACTTTAGGAATTGTTATATGCAAGTCTTACACTTACATTATTCGTGATACTACTAATATTTAGATATACCATTTTTTCTGCAACTTCTCGAGCTCTCTTGGACGTATATTCTCCATTAGGTCTAATCCGGCATCTCTTCCATTTATGATGGCGTTTGATGGGAGAAGGAGGTTTCAAAACCACTGAAGGATCAGACTTTGAGGCCTCTTGTTGCCTTTCCAGCTTTTCTGCCATCATCTTTTCTTCAAGCAACTCATATCCGCCCCGGGATAACCTGTGGGGACAGACATTATGTGCCTGAATTTCTTGTGCTTTCCTTCTACGCTCCTGTTTAAAATAAGACACCACATATTGCACAAAGTAAGAATCTAGCTACATGCATTCTTTATCACTTATTAATAGAAGTGAACTGACCAGAAAAGCCGGGTCTGTTCGGATCACGACAAATTGCTTCCATGTTTCAGTTTCAATCCATTTATACTTCACAGTAGGGTCTTGCCCACGTCGATCGCCAAATATGTATTTGGACGTCAAAAAGGTCTTAAAACCTGTCCATCGACTACCAGCATATGCAATCCATTTTCTCCTCAGTACGGGATCATTAGGGACCTCAAAGGTGAGCTGCATTGCATTCACAAAAATAATAGTTTTTATTTTTCCTAATTATAATTGCAGCTTAAAGGAACATTTACTTTTTATACGTTATTGACTGGTCATATCTAAATTTTTCTCAAATAATTTCATTTGTTTACAAAACATATATCATATGCACTTAATGAAACATACTTTTGGTTAAATATTTGAAGAATTGTCTCCAACAATTTTGTGGGGCAGTTTCCTGTAAAAATAGGTCTAACTCGAAAAGCAGATTCAGTTACCATGATAGCTTCCCAAATCTGGTTTTTTACTCCTTCCTCTACAGCTTCCCATTCCGGGATTGTTATAGTAGCTCGCATCCTTCCTTGGAGGGCCACAAAACTAACGAACAGTTTATTGTTTGAGCCCATTGCTTTCCCCTTCTCATTAAATTGGATAGGTAGTGGGTTGTTAGCTGCCATGAAACAAAATATAAGTACTTAATTAGTTTAATTCATACAATATAAATAGTTGAAAGAAAAATTCTCAAACCGTGCATCGCACGGGTGAGTTTACTAGTAATATTAACATATCAAAGAACATATTAACATATCATAATTCACACATGATCGGACAAACATATAACATACCTGGGTGAACCGAGCAGCTGTAATAAAAATACAGATATTTACATACAAAACAGAATCATACTCAGATATCATAAATATCAGATAATTTTTATTCTGAGATTATTATTATATTCTTCTAGTGTACAGAACAGAAGCATATTCAGATATCATAATTATCAGATAATTCTTATCCTGAAACTTACCATTGAAAAATACATATTCATTTAGCCTTCAACTCTAGAATCTGGACCTAGACCAAGGAATACCAACGGTAAGGAATACGGTCGATCAAAGTCCGCTACACGTACCAATCCCTGTCAGAATCTAGCTGAACAGAAAGGACGGAATCACTGAAGAGACCCGAACCTTAACAGGAGAGTAATAGTGCTCTAAAAATATTTCAGGAGTGTACGAAGTACACTAAACAGAACAGGAGTGTAAGTAGTACACTAAATAGGAGAGCACTATTTCCTCTCAACAGAATTTCAGGAGTGTACATAGTACACTAAACAGAACAGGGGTATCCTAGTCAGAGTACCGGATCAAGAGTAAGGATTTTCATATAATGGTGTTTACGTTTATTTTAATTTCAAATAAGTACTCATATATATAAATGGTTTTCAAATATGTAACCTTACAAAAATGACTTATAAAATATACAAATGTAAATAACAAATTAACAATCAGAAGAGTACACTTAATTTATACATCCCCTGGACTATAAATTAACAATTACTTGAACCATAAATATCAATTTATCTTAATATTCTGTTTTTATGAATAAATAACGTAAGTGTATGTCTTGTTGTCTAAAATGTCAATCCATTCTTACAAACATGTCTTTTTTTATATTCACATATAGGTAACCAGTAACCCATGTATATAAACACACACACACACACATATATATATATCATTTTTTTTATATGTTATATTACTTATCAATTTAAAAAAAAATAAAGGTCATCATTATTTATACGGAGTATATATCTACCGAATTACTTAGGTAGGGCACCATTTGGGCTAAGTGCATGCATGTGTGTCATGTATATAACTATATATACATATTATTATACTTAAATATTTAGCTAGAGCATCCATGCATGATATATACTTCGTACTACTTATGTGATAATACGTTATCTATGTATGTGACTACACTTATTAATTATTATGCATGCATGTTATATTACTAAAATCTAAAGATTTTACACTTTTACATGCCCGTAAGTCATTTATGAAGTTAGTGCATGAATGTCAAGTATTACTCCGTAAAGAATTTACCCTAGATAGGACTAAAACATAACAAGTCTGCAAAAATAGGATCTCATGTTTTAAATTCCCGTAATATGAGTGACATCCCTGTTTTACCCTCCCAGATGCTTTCTTCATTCTCTTCCGTGTCGTGTCAAGCTGCCACACAAAACAACTCATCCATCTTATCCCTCCTCTCTCTTTTCCCCATCCCACCGGCCTGACCCATCACATCTCCATCTCCACCCTTCTGTTTTTTCTCTCATCCAACCCATTTGGCCATTTCTACAATATCTCATATTTCTTCTCCATCCAGGCCTCACACCTCTGCAAGTCACGAATCTCTCATCTCCTTCATGAAGATTCAAAATTTCAGTGGCTCCGGAAGAATATATTAGACGAACGGAAAAGTATTCATGAATCTCCGATCAATTCTTTTCTTCAGATTTCTACCCAACCGGTTGATTCGAGTAAAAGGTACTCTTATTTCTTTTTGTTCTCCACCATCGTTCTCCTTCTACTTCTTTTCTTCCTCCTTTCTTGTTCTTCTTCCCTTCTTTTCTTCTTTTTCCATCTCTATTTTCTTCATCTTTTGATTTTGTTTCCTATTTCCTATTTATTATTTTATTTACTTTCAGATTCTAAATTAAGAGATTCGTTTTTGGGATTTTAATTTTACAAACGTCCACTAATTGAAAAAGAATTGGATTTGATTTTTATTTATTTATTTCGATTACTTTATTTTTAAATTTAAATCTGAATTTCTTTGTAACTACTGTTTCTTTTTTAAAACTGATTTGAAAAATCAATTCCATTTTTATGAAATTAAATTTATCGTGCCATGTTATTTTTGAACTACAGTTTATAGTGCCATGTTATTCGATTTATTTGGCAAATTGTGTCATAAAACATGTATAAAGATGACACTAATTTCATGATCAAGATGGCAATGTTTTTTCTGAGTTTAACTTTTTCTTTATATTTTCATTCTTTACATTTTAATTTTAAAATATTTCTTATCATGTAATGCCATGTATAATTTCACATGGTAATGCCATAATTTTCAATTTGGAAGTACTATTACTTTCTATGTCATAGGGCAGTGCCATATTTTACAAGTGCGAGTGCTATATATTTTTTTTATTATGAAAATGGCATTGTAATTTTAAGATGGCATTACGTAAATTTTAAGATAAAAAATGACATTCGTAGATTCACAAATATAAGGAGGATGTGGCACTGATCGAAGACCTGGTAGATTCATATCAAGACTCTATAGGAGGGCAGCTACAATAGATGAACTCTCCAGTGGCGGATTTGGTTACAGTGATTGAGATGGTGGGTGGTGCCGCCGCCGGAGATGTTGGCATTCCGGCATGAGATTTGGTGCAGAAGGATATCTGTAGACCACATGGCTCTGTTTGTTTTTGTTTTGTTTAATACGTAGATCAGGTGTAATGTAGTACAGACACGGAATATTAATTTTAATAAACAGGAGTGACGAGACTTTCAAATATTGTCAAGACATATTCATTTTACTCCTACGGAGGAATACGGAAGAATCTGGTCCTATCTTTGTACTTTTGTTAAGTTTTACTCCTATCTAGGTAATTACCCCTACTCCGTATTATTTTACTTCAATGGTGAGGTCGAATGTATTATTATTATAAGTATATGTATGAGAAATGATACTTGTACCTAGTTGCCGCTCTTATCTAGAGTGCGCATGTGTTTTTCTTATGTTATACGAAGTATTACCATCAGTTTAAAATGCTGATTTTTATTATTATATGCTCCTCCCTCCGTGTATCTATAACTAGATATTAGGTTGTCCTAACATGTAAATTTAGGTAAAAAGTAATGCAAGCATATCAAACATGCATATACATAAATATGTTATTGCATGCATGTTAATTATAACAGCACCTATCTATCTATCCTAATCAAAGTATATGGTTTCGTGCAAAATACATCGCCGTGATATTCTACATACTCGTATATCACAGAATCGTTATAATTAATCTAACCGTATTAATTTTAACGACTTTACTTCTTAATAATACGGGCTAAGCTTTATTTCTAGGTGACCTTTGTATTGATCGATTAAAGCAAATGTAATTACTATCAATAATGATAGATTTATGTGTCTATATTTAAACCTACCATGAGTTATGATATCTCAATGGTAAATGATATAATTTCACTTTGTTAAACTAATTTAAAATGTTTTTGAATAGTCACTAAGAAGTCACGGGGCTTCTTTTCATCCTCACTTCAAAATAATCATGATTAACTTTTAAATATAAATGTGTAACTAATAGTCTGAAGTTCATAACAACTAACGATAATCACAGCAAAATTACAACTTAAGATATAAACTCAAAATTCTTATAAATTAATAAATTAAGAACACATATTTAGAGCACACAAAATTTCTAAGACTATATAATGTTCATCATCCCATAACACAAGGGGAAACGGGGACGGAAATAAACACAATAATCCAAATGGCTGGGACGAAAACGTACTGACCTTAAAGAAATTCTTCTCAAATTGCTAGCGTGAGAGTCTCCTATGCGACTACCTTAGCTTCATCTCCATGGAGCTAGTTCATTTTGGGGGGTTTCTTAGATAATTTTGTGGACTAGTCGTACGGGAAAGAGAGGGCTAGGTCCCTACTTAAATTCATGCTACTCCCCAAACATCACCTCCAATTCGGCCAATCAAATAAAATGCATTAAATTTTAAAATCTTCTAATGTCACCTCCATTTAGACCAATCAATAAAATGTGTATTTCTAATAATTAAAATTTATCCTATTCGTATGACATAATTTCCAGCAACCAATTGTCCTATTAAAACAAGTGTGTCATGATAATGAACTAGGTCTCTACGTGACTACGTGGCTATTCAGAGTATCAATTTTGTTTGACCATTATAATTCACTAGTCCACTACCGTCATATATGTCTAAATTCCATGGGCTACTAAGGACAATATTTCAGAAACAGAGAAGCTTCCAAACACTTATTGAAGTCACATGCACATGCAAAAGTAATATTACCGACCACTCTAAATGATACCATAATGGGTCTAAATGCTAGATCCGAGAATGGGAAACTAGTATCGGGTAAGATATATGAACTTTTGAGAACTAAAGGGACGGCTCGAGCTTGGATGAGTTTCATATGGAAATCTTATATACCTCCCAAATTCTCATTTAATGTTTGGTTTGCCATGCGTAACAGGTTACCTACGCAGGATAACCTCAGTTACTTGCATATTGTTAACCGGTGTGACCTTTGTAAGGGTGACTTGGAAACAATGTCACACCTCTTCTTACTTTGTCCTTGCACTTGTAGGGTTTGGGAGCATATTAAAGACTGGTTGGGATTAACACGGGAGATGACCACGCTCAATAGCTCAGTCAAATGGATTTTGAAGGACCATAAAGGATCGAAGATCAAAGGGAAAGCTGCTCGTATTGCCTTTTGTGTTGCGGTCTATTACATTTGGCACGCTAGGAATGCCAACCGATTTGACGAAGTGGATGTGAAGGAAGAGGAGACAATTGCGAAAATCAAGCATGTGGTATATAAGATACTATTCAGTATATGCCCACATGACTTGATTAAATTTTGAAAAAGGTCAACAAATGAATAGTTTGGATGCCGAGGTTTGAAGTTATTGGACACTGCCACATGGACACTTGTATGCCGCGGCATAGACCTTTTGGATGCCGCGGCTTGGGCAATTCGGACACCGAGGCATGGACATCTTGGATGCCACAACATGAGGCAGCGTCTTGTACTCGGGGTGTTTGCTACTACAACACCTTTGTATTTCTTTTAACCTCTGAACTTTTGCTCTAGTTGCTTACTTAGGTAGCACGGATGTATGTTTGATTTTCTGATTGGGCAAGTATTTATGATTGGTCCTTTTGGTGTGGATTAGATCGAGAAAAAACCTCTCTTCACCCTCACAATATGTGAGGGGGGGGGGGGGGGGGTAGGAGATCTAGGACGCTTGATGTATATTTTTTCTGGGTGTTAATATATATTTACATTTCATTCAAAAAAAATTACTGGCCACTCTAGTTTTCAATGGAGGACACGGCATTATAACCTTTCTGGCAACATCTTCACGTGAACGTTCATAGTCGGGGCTTAGAAGATTAATACATTATGGTCCTAGAGTTATAATTTAATGTCTTAAACACTTGTTGAAAAGTATTATAAATGTGACTTGTAGATTTTACGGAATTCTAGGAGTCTTAACCTCATTTAGTGATATCTTATTATATCATTCATCATTTTTTTCCCCATTTCTATTCTCTTTTATTTTTCACTATTAGTACAATAAGACAGATCAAATAATAATTATACGTTTATTGGTATGCATTAAATAGCTAGACCGGTTTTGGGGTGTTACATTTAGGAGATTAACGTAACACACGCTTACCTGAAGCGGACAGAACTCTAAGTCGATGGTGAATGGGGGTGGTCACTGGTGACCGTGGTAGGGGGTGGGAATTGTGGTGACCAGAGTTGTAGGTGGTGAGCGGGAGTTGAGGTATGGTCACTGGTTGTGATCGGCAACGGGGGTTCATGGTGGAGGTGTCACTTTGACCATAGTCAGCGTGTCACTGTTGCGGTGTCACTAGCGTGAAAATATGATTGTGACAACTCTTAGTGACATTTGAAAATCGCAGTGGCACAAAATTTTTGCGGTGAAATCATGGAAATTGTCAATATTTAAAAGTAATCACATTTTTTAAAACTAAATCTAATTTAGTAGTATACATGGGAACCCCCTCTTTTAATTAGAGTAGTGTATTCTATCTTCATTGAGAATATTTATCCAATAACTTTGATACTCACACTTTTAGTTTCACAATTGTGATTATTTGACTTGTTTCTCACTTCAAATTAGTAACTTTTTGATTGTATATTATTTATATAATAAGATGCACTAGTTTATATGAGACATGATATAAATTTATTTCTAATTATTTTGATAATGTAAAATGGTTCAATGCTATGAATGAGCAGGGGATAATATATAGTATAATATATTTAAATATATTTAAAAATTCTTGTAATTTTTAATATTTATAAATACACCTCCATAATTTTTAATATTTATAAATATACCTCTCTGTATCCTACTTTTTTCGGGGTTATGTGTAACACCCCGGCCCTACCGGACCCGAGGTAGTTACTCCAGACCAATAGTACTGTCCCCACAAACCACCACGAGCCTTTACCGCGCACTTTGTCCTCACTCATGCACGCCCTGAGAAACTTCTCAGGGGGTCACCCATCCCAAGACTACTCCCGAGCAAGCACGCTTAACTTTGGAGTTCTTAGGTAATGAGCTCCTTTAAAAGGAGATGCACCTCTGTTGGTATGAGTAGTACTATTAATCCATTTATATTAAATCTCAAGTGTTACAATCACCCCCACTTAGGATCGCAACGTCCTCGTTGCGCCCTTAAACCAATCTCAATCACACCCCAGAATCTTTTTCCCCTGCTAAGTGCCCGCCCGATATCCAACGGATCAACACACTGTCGCAGGGTTGCTCTGATACCACCTGTAACACCCCGGCCCTACCGGACCCGATGTAGTTACTCCAGACCAATAGTATTGTCCCCACAAACCACCACGAGCCTTTACCGCGCACTTTGTCCTCACTCATGCACGCCCTGAGAAACTTCCCAGGGGGTCACCCATCCCAAGACTACTCCCGAGCAAGCACGCTTAACTTTGGAGTTCTTAGGTAATGAGCTCCCTTAAAAGGAGATGCACCTCTGTTGGTATGAGTAGTACTATTAATCCATTTATATTAAATCTCAAGTGTTACATTATGACTTATGATTGAACCTAGAAGTAAATGTGTGAAGAAGTCCAAATTATACGTATTAAAACATTGTTGGATATGTTGTTTTGTTGATGACTAACCATGCAGGAACTAAGAACTGATCTAGCTATTTAAAGTTGACTAGTGAAATAGTGTATGAGATTTTGTTGATATCTGCTTGCATGGAAATTACATATGACGTTTTACGTGCCTAAAAGTTGATCTTGTGATTAAATGCCTTATTGAGATTATTGTCACATATAATGCATGTTATATGTACTCACTCTTGAGTAAAGTACTTCGTGAATCGTGAGTAGTGATGGGCCGTTGCACTCTTATCATGGTAAGATAATATCTTCTCTACTTGCTTTAAAAAGGGAATCACCATTCGGTGGAAAGTTTTTAGTACATCTACGGCCCTAATCAAAGGAAATCGTTTTCAAATGAATCCCTATGAAAGCCGTTGCATGATTACTCCTATATTTTATTACCTTTTTGGAGTTTGACCAAAGCTTGCTTTATTTAGTACTCCCTCCGTAACTTTAAAATCTTCTCACTTTCCCTTTTCGTCCGTAACAAAAAAATCTTCTCATTTCTAAATCTTCCCATCATACCCTCAATAATTCTGAAAATAATACACTATTACAACTACTTTTTTTGGATTTATCCTACATTCCATCACCTTATTCCACTATCTTCCTATCATACCCTCAATAATTCATATTCTCTTTCACTATTCTTAATCTACCTACTTTTCAAATGGGAAGATTTTAAAGTTACGGAGGGAGTATTTAATTCAAATATGATGTTGAATGAACCGAGTATATTTTTATTAAGGGCGTGATTGATTGGTTACCTTGAATATTTGATTATGATATGTTGGATAGTTTATTTTGACTGCCTTATATATTGAGCTCGAATATGGGAA